TGAATTTATATAAACTACACAGAAAAAAAGAGCACTGCTTAGTTTCAGGAAATTACTTCGCTTCCAATATTTTATCTATGTTCTGTTCTCCATGAACATGACAATCATAGAAACTTACTATTTTCTCTTGATTTGGGGGCCTTCTTAGTCTTGTTTATTCGAGAAATTTATGCAGTTGAATTATTTCTATGAAAACTCAGTGAGTCCTTGTCTTCATCATATGGAGAAATAGCCTCCCTTCACCTTATCAATAAATCCATTTGGAACAGCAGATGAGCATACCTAATATTCTTCACAGAGAACAACTTCTTGTGTACAAGAAAAGATCGTCTGCACTATCGAGATGTACCAGAATGTTCTCATGCTATCCCTACCTCTGCCTATATACTTCATTCATAATAGCAAAAAAAAAAAAAAAAAAAAAAAACTGGAATCAACCCAGCTGTCCCTCAGCAGAAGAATAGATAAAGAAAATGTGGTACATTTACACAATGGAGCATTGATCTGCTGTTTAAAAAAAAAATGACATCAGGCAAATGGATGAAACTAGAAAAAATCATTCTGAGTAAGGTAACCCAGACCCAGAAAAACAAATAAGGTATGTATTTGCTTATAAGTGGATAATCAACATTAAATAAATTGTAACCAAGCTACAATCTATAGACCCAGAGAGATTAGGTAAAGAGGAGGGTTTTAGTGGGGAATACATGGATGTCCTTGGAAGGGGGAAATAGAATAGATTTTATGGACAGACTGGGGTGGGTGGAAATGGGAGCAGGGGGATCAGGTTGGGGAGGTATGTGGGATGGAGGGAGAGACTACAGGGAGAGATGGTGGCATTTGGGGGTGGGGTGGAAACCTAGTGCAGTGGGAAATTCCTGGAATGTATGAAGGTGATCTTAATGAGGACTCCTAGTAATGGAGAATACAGAGTCTCAACTGGCCATCTCTTGTCTCCAGGCAAGGCTTCCAGTGGTGGGACTCGGTTGCATTCAATAGAGTTGTTGGCCAAGGGGGTCCCATGGAAATCCCCAAACAACCCAAGCTGTTGCTAAGACAAAAGATTGTTCTCTGCAAACTGACATTGGTGCCCCATTGCTGAGGACACATCCATCCAACTCATTGGACATGGAAAAATCAAGCTGGTGCCAACATGAAGCCTTCACCCTTATATTCTAGTCTCTGGTGCAGGAAGGTAGTCTGCAGGCTACCAAAAGAGAACCATGGACACCAACCCAGCCACAAAACCTTTGTCCTGCAGTCTGTCTCCCCTGAAAAATATGGTAGGGTAAAGGTGGCACAGAACCTATGGGGGTAACCAAATGTCTGATTTGACTTAAGGTCCACTCCACAAGAAGGAACTCATTCCTAACACTGCTTGGGTAACTAAGAACCAAACTATATAGCCTAGAGACCTAGGATAAAACCAAATACTACTAGTCTATAAAAAAGGAAGAAAATAAGAAAGAAAGGAAGGAATGAAGGAGGAAGGGAGGGAGGGAGGAAAAGAAAGGGAAGGGAATGGAAGGGAAGAGAAGGAAGAAAGAAAAGAAGGAAAAGAATCAATAAAATGCCTCCTAATGATATTCTCATAGATCAGTGCCTTATCCAGTCATCATCAGAGAGGCTTCCTCTGGCAGCAGATGGGAGCAGATGAAGAGACCTACAGGCAGACATTCTGTACAGAAAGTCTAAATGGGAGGTCTCCATCAAATCCCTCCCCTCAGAGCTCAGAATCCCATGGAAGAGGAGGCATAAAGAATGTAAGAGCCAGAGGGGATGGAAGACACCAGGAGAACAAGGCCCTCTGAATTAACTAAGCAAGGTGCATGTGAGCTCAAAGAGACTGAAGCAGTAAGCGCAGGGCCCACATGGGTCTGCACCAGGTCCTCTGCATATGTATTATAGCTTTCGGCTTAATATTTTTATGGGACTCCTGACAGTGAGAAAGAGTGGATCTCCAGCTTTTGTACCTGCTCTTGGGACTCTTTTCTTCTTGTTGGGTTGCTGTGTCCAACTTCTGTATGATAGTTTTTGCTTCATCTTATTATATTTGATTCTGTCATGTTTGGTCATTATCTCAAAAAACCTGTCCTTTTCAAATGAGAGACAGAAAAGCAGTGGATCCAGAGGAGAGAGGAGGTGGGGAGGAGCTGGGAGGAGTAGAGGGAGGGGAAACTATAATCAAGAAATATTGTATGAGAAAAGAATCTATTTTTAATAAAATGAAAAAAGAAAGAAATGACTTATGATAGCTGATCCAAAAAGGTCAACTCATACAATTTTTAAAAACTTTAAAGAAATTATTATGAAAATTATACATATAAGAAAAATAAGGAAATGAGCTTTGACCTAAAAAAAACATTTTGATAAGACTTATAATGTGTCAGAGAAAACAGCTATAGAAGAGTTTGTAGATCTTTCTTTTTTTCCCCAACATAATATTTTCATTGGTTACTTGGGAATTTCACATCATGCATCCTGATCACACTCACTTCCCAGTCCTCCCATGTCTACTCCAACCCTTGTGATCTCTCCCCAAGAAGGAGGAAGAGAAGGAGAAACACACAAGTCCAATCTGTGTTGCCTATACACTCACTGGAGCATGGCCAAATGCCCAGTAGGGAGTCCCTTAAAGAAAATTGAGTCCTTCCCTACCCATACCCCTGCCAGAAACCATCAGTTTTGGAGAACTACACTTTAGCATCCTTATCACAGTTTTTAAGAGTTCTGGTCCATGATTTCCTGTGAAAGCTGTTACTTTGGGTGTGTGGGGATGGGAGTGCTATCCCAAAGCCTTCTATGTCCCTCTTTCTCAACCGTGAGTCTGCAGTTAACATATATTTCATATATACGCCATATGCTTTCAGGAATCATTTCTATAGTTTGTTACTAAAAAACCTTTCTTAGTGAAATTTCTGGCCTGTAAAGATAAAGAAATCCTCTGGAAAAAAACAAAAGAATCAGGTCCACAATAATAAAAGAAAATTAAACTCTTATTGAACTCTATCACAAGACTAAACAGTGCCAAAACAATGATGCAGCATTTTGTGAAATATTTCTTTTCTATTTAAAGTATCCTACAAGTACAAGAAAGCAGTGCAAGCATGCAAGAATCAGGAATATTGTTTCTATACATTTTCTTGAGGAAAATGCTAGGTTGAACTTCAACTAAACCAGAGACTTCTGTCTTGGTTTTATTTCAGCTGTTGTGATAAATACCATGATACAAAGCAACTTAGGAAAGAAAAGGATTACTTTAGCTCAAAATTCCAAATAACAATCCATCATAGCAGAGAAGTGAGGGCAGCAGAAACTTGAAACAGCTGATTGAGTCACATCCACAGTTAGGAGCATAGAGAAATGAATGCAAACATGTATACTACTCAATTCATCTTCATTCTGAGTAGTCCAGGTCCAAAATCCAGGGAATTGTGCTACACAGAGTCAGCCACATCTCCCCACCCCCACCCCACCCGTTTTCAATGCAATCAGGACAATGCTCCACAGACATATCCACAGGCCAACCTGATCTAGACAACTTTGCATTGATACTCTCTTCCCAGGTGCCTCTAGGTTATAACAAGTTGACATAGAACTAAGCATCACTGATAACAATAACATGTAAAGTAGCATGAAATAAACTTAGGAGACAGTATAAAGAAACTGTTTGTCTAGATGAAGGAGGTAAAAGACAAATAATATGCAAGTAAGAAAACAGCATAATCTTCAATGCTTTTCAAATGGGGGCTGAAATTTTATTATTATTTTCTCACTGTGAAAGCAAAAAGATAAAAGATAATCTGTTCTAAATTTATGTAATTAAGACCAAAAGAACACAGGGCTGAAGAGATAGTTTAGCAATTACGAGCACTTGCTGCTCCTGCAGAGGATCAGGGTCCAATGCCTAGCACCCACAAAGTTTACAACCATCTACTTCCAGGGGGATCCAGCACCCTCTTCTGGCCCCCACAGGCATGACACACATGTGCAGTATATACATGGATGCAAACAAAACACGATACATATAAAATAAAATAAAATAAAAATTAAATCTTTTTTAAAGGAGTGAAAGAACCCATCTACTCTTCAATAGAAACAACTTTTCCTGATTCTTGAAATTAATTTTCTCATCTGTGTTCATAAAGAAGTGTCAAGTATGAGTAAGGTCTATATTCTTAACATTTCTAAGGAAATTTGATGGCGAGAAGTCAGAAGGGAGTTTTACTAAATTTTCAAAACAATTTAAAATCAGGTTATCAAAATAGTAATAGAGCTTAGTAAAGACAATTCCTTCAGGATAAAGGCAACATAACAGATTAGCATCCTTGTGATCTTGCTCCATAGGGAAAATGCCTGGACTATCTGGGGAAGTGGAAGGAATTCAGGACCGTAGATTTGTACATTATGCTTTTGTTCCAACTATAATTTGGCAGAGAAACAAAAGGCTGACAAATACTGTTGTAATCCCTGCCTGGCAAGCATCTAATCTATGCATGAATTGCTAAAGCATTTATGCTGAGATAATAAGTCTAGCTTCCTTTCATAAAAGGAAAGACAAATGAAGACTCTCCTATAGTTCCCACAGTAAAAGTAGGCAGTTCTCTGTCTCAGAATCCTTTCTTCTTTTTTTGGGAGGGTGGGGTGGGGGTGGGGGTGGGGTGGGGGTGGGAGTGATTCGAGACAGAGTTTCTCTGTGTAGCCCAGCTATCCTGGAATTTACTCTGTAGACCGGGCTGGCCTCAAACTCAGAGATCTGTCTGCCTCTGCCTCTTAAGGTGTGTGCCACCACTGCCTAGCTTTTGACTCTTTTTAAATTCAAAGAAAAACAGGGCTTCCAGTTATAATAGATTATCACCTTCAGTATTCACCATGTGCCATGTGTGAAACAAAAATTGAAAAATATTTAAACATTTATATTAAAGCAGGAATAGTCCCATTAAATAGTAATGTGGCTATGACTTAAGAAAACAAAACAGGCAAGCAGAATCTCAGCGATCCTCAGTCCCTGCAGCATCCCCCTGCCTGTCGCCATGGCCGCCTACAAGCTAATGCTGATCTAACATGGCGCTCTCACCTGGAACCTGGAGAACGCTGGTACCACGCCGACCTGAGCCCGGCGGGCCACGAGGAGGCGAAGCGCGGCAGACAGGTGTTGCGAGATGCTGGCTATGAATTTGACATCTGCTTCACCTCCGTGCAGAAGAAAGCCATCCGGACCCTCTGGACAGTCCTGGATGCCATTGACCAGATGTGGCTGCCAGTAGTCAGGACTTGGCGCCTCAATGAGCGACACTATGGGGGTCTGACTGGTCTCAATAAAGCAGAAACTGCTAAGTACGGTGAGGCACAGGTAAGATCTGGAGGTGATGTCCCACCACCTCCGATGGAGCCTGATCATCCCTTCTACAGCAACATCAGCAAGGATCGCAGGTACGCAGACCTTACTGAAGACCAGCTGCCCTCCTGTGAGAGCCTGAAGGACACTATTGCCAGGGCACGGCCCTTCTGGAATGAAGAAATTGTCTCCCAGATCAAGGAGGGGAAGAGTCCTGATGGCAGCCCATGGCAACAGCCTTCGGGGCATCATCAAGCATTTGGAGGGTCTCTCAGAAGAGGCCATCATGGAGCTGAACCTGCCGACTGGCATCTCCATTGTCTATGAATTGGACAAGAACTTGAAGCCTGTCAAACCCATGCAGTTCCTGGAGATGAAGAGACCGTGCGGAAAGCCATGGAAGCTGTGGCCGCTCAGGGGAGGGTCAAGAAGTGAAGGCCAGCAGGCCGAATCCTACCCCAGTACCCTCCTCCCTGCCTGTTTATGCCTCCGGCACCCTTCCCCAACACCTGTCACGCTGACTACATCTGTAGGATCTTAAGTTTAGGTGGTAGCTGCAAACGAGAACCTGAAGCTCCCATTTTCATTTTAGTATTGTATCCCCTGCACCCACTCCCTTCATAGAATCTAGTCAGAATAACACCTCTGGGGTGCAGGTTCCTGGTCCACATCCAGGAACCGCTCCCCTTCCCAGGAGAGCTGAGAGGTAGTAATTACAGTTTTTCTTAGTCCTTTGTTTACTAAGGGTCTGCTTTAGGAAGAGGTCTGGGAGGAACCATGCTGTGGTATGACCAATGAGAAGCTGCAGGCTAATTTTGTCCCTGGAGCCTATCCTGCACCCTTGTTAGGTAACTGGGGGCTGTAGTCATTCCAGGGGAGGGTAAAAGTAATTTGCATGGTGATTTAAAAGATACTACCTTCCTCTCTGACTAAAGGAGCTGCTGGCCCTCAGAAGGTTGGGATCAATCCTGTTAAGTCTATGTGTTACATTCACTTTTACAAAAAAAAAAAAAAAAAAGTACATATATATTTATCAGCATACAAAAGCCCCTCTGAGGTTTCTAGTGGTGACTGGAATAGCCCCATGTGGTCACCAGAAAATAAGCCATTCCTCATAGCAAATGGGATAAATTCCTTGATCTCAAGGGGCAGGAGTGCCTCTTGCTGTGTCTTAGGATTCCTCTGCCTTGTCTTGTAGAGGTGAAGTGCCCCTTGATCATGTCCAGGTTTCTGTCTTTCACTGTCTGATTCATGTTCTAGCTGCTTGACCCTATCATGTGGGTTCAGAACTCGTTTGGGCATAAATACTAAATCTCTTTCCAGATCAGTATAATAAAAGAATCATGTGCAATAAAAAAAAAGAAAAGAAAAGAAAACAAAGGAATTAAGAAAAAAATAGTTTACACTTTTCCAGGTTTCTTCAGCATGTGGTATGCTGCGAACAACTATGTTCTCAAACCTACTTTAGCAATCACTGTTTTATTATACTTCAACTGAAGTATTTGAAGAAAATGAAGCTAACACAAAAAGGTTCTGGGAAATAGAAAACTTAGTATTTCGTTTTACATACTGTTTCACTTAAATGCAGTGATCTGCTTTGCAGTCTCAAGGGATCTTTGGGTTATGTATTCCTTTATGTCCTTTGAAACTATCAGTTGAGTATCACAGAGCTGCCAACTATTGATGCATTCCAATTACACTATAAAAAACACATTTTTAGTGCCACCACTCTTCTCCACAATAAAGGTTTCCTTTAACAATAAGTTACTGGGAGGCTGTCAAGATCACAGTAGCAGATAAATTGTTTCTAATTATCTAATTTCCAACAAAAGCTTAAATTTTATCACTGACAACAAAGGAAGTCAGAACGGAAGTGCCAGCTTTACCTGATTGATTTTGGGAAATGCTTGTGAACATCAGAGTCTGCACAGTGACAGTTTGTCTTTCAGTTATTCCCTAAAGAAAAAAAAGCCATTCTAGCTAAATCACACATATTCTTTTTTCTTCTTGGCTGCTTGCGTGTGTGTGTGTGTGTGTGTGTGTGTGTGTGTGTGTGTGTGTGTGTGTTTATACACGTGTATAGATGTAACTAACCGTCTTATTAAATAAGAAACACAGAAACAATGTAAAGGAGAAAGCCGAGAGGTCAGAGCTCAGAGCTAAAATCTCACCCTTCCGCCTGCGGTGTCCCAGCTTCCCGAAAGAGAGCTACTTCCTGTCTGTAAATCGATTTTCCAGTCATTCTGCCTTCTCATTGGTTGTAAACCCAAACACGTGACTGCCTCGTCACTGTCTGAATGTACAGCCCCCTAGGTCTTAAAGGCATATGTCTCCAATGCTGGTTGTATCCCTGAACACATAGAGATCTATGGGATTAAAGGTGTGTGCCACCACCGCCACACTCTTGCTATGGCTCTAATAGCTCTGACCCCCGGGGAACTTTATTTATTAACATACAATCAAAATCACATTTCAGTACAATTAGATTACCACCACACACGTGAGCACAGATGCCTGATGAGGCCAGAAGAGGGCACTGGATCCCCTGGCACTAGAATTAAAAATGGTTGTAAGACACTTGACATGGGTATTTGGAAAGGAACTCTGTACCTCTGCAAGAACAGCAAGCACTCTTAACCACAAAGCTATCTCCGTGTTCTTTTTCTTAAGACACCATTGTGGCCTGGGAAGTGACAGAAGAGCTTTATGTGGACTATCCATGATATCACACAGAATAAGTTAAATAATCTTATCTATAATCATTTGGCTCCTTCTTCAAAGACATTTTAAGCAAGTAAAACTGGCAATTTGGAAGCTGGGAGTACATAAAAAACAAGGAATACAGCAATTGGTACAGTTTGGTGATGCTGCCTTGAAATGACTATAAAAATAGTTGTGCCTTCTTGAAACCCATTGACGAGTATCAAATGCATTGAGAGGTCCTGGTTATGCTGGGAGCTAAATAACTTTCTGTCCATTTGACATTTCCAGAGAGTACAAAACAACCTAGATATAGGACTATCTCTGGCTCTCTAGATGGCACATACACACACACACACACACACACACACACACACACACACACACACACACACGGGGGGGGGGGGGGGGGGGGGGGGGGGCTGGGAAGTGGGGGTAGAAGCAATTAAACTGATAAGAGACCTTTTCAGAAGCAATTGCTCTCATGGCTACAGTATTTTATATCTGAAGTGAACGCTAACACAGGAATATGGTGATATTTTCCTTCATTGGTCCTATCCATTGTACTGATTAATTATAATTTTTCTAAGATTTTTTAATGATGTTATTGTAGCAGGAACCTTAAAAGTTCTTATTAATAAAATCAAACCTGAGCCAGGTATTGGGTTGAACTGGAAGATCAGAGAACCAGAACAAGCCACAGCTACCTTACCTTGCTGGATCCTCAGCTGGTCTTGTTTCCTCAAACTAGAAGGCTCTGTATCCTCATACCAATGGCTCTCAGCTGAACTGCTGCTCAAAAGCCTGAAGCTTAACCAGCTAAAAGCTCAACCAGGTCAAATGCTTCTAGTTTCTGGTCCTCAAGCCTTATATACCTTTCTGCTTTCTGCCTCACTCCCTGGGGTTAAAGGCTCGCTTTCTGAGATTAAAGGCGTGTGTCACCATGCTTGACTGTATCTTTGAACACATGGATTTCTATTTCTGGAATGCTAGGATTAAAGGCATGTGCTACCACTGCCTATCCTCTATGCTTAATATTGTGGCTGTTCTGTCTCTGACTCCAGATAAGTTTATTAGGGTGCACAATATTTTGGGGAACACAATACCACCACATTTCCCCTTTTGGGGGGCCTTAGCTGGAGCCCACAAAGCCACAGATAAGCAGCTTTTTCATGAATTCATACCACAAATGTTGGGTGCCATGTTATTATTATTATTTACATCCTGACCACAGTTTTCCCCTCCCCCTTACCCCATCCCTCCTCCTCCCTTCTGTCCCCCATCCACTCCTCCTCTGTTTCTCTTCAGAAAAGGGCAGGGCCTCCCATGGATATCAACCAGTCCATGGTATATCAAGTTGCAGTAAAACTAGGCACCTCCCCTCCTGCTAAGGCTGGACAAGGCAACTAGTATGAGGAATAGGGTCTCAAAAGTCAGCAAAAGAATCAGAGACGCCCCTACTCCCACTGTTAGGAGTCCCACAAAAATACCAAGCTACACAACTGTAACATATATGTAGAGGGCTTAGGTTAATCCCATCAGGCTTCCTGGTTGTTGGTGCAGTCTGTGAGCCCCTTTGAGCCCAGCTTACATGATTCTGTGGTTTTTCTTGTAATACCCTTAGCACCTCTGGCTCCTACAATCTTTCCTCCCCCTTTTCCACGGGATTCATGTAGCTCTAACTAATGGTTGGCTGTGGATCTCTGCATCTGTTTCCATCAGTTACTGGGTGAAGCCTCTCTGATGACAACTGGGCTAGGCACCAATCTATGAGTACAGCAGAATACTGTTAGGCATTGTTACATTGACATTTTTCTTTTTGCCAGTCATGTTTTGTTCCATCCTAACTCTCCAGGCTATACAGCCTCTAATGTCCATGAAATATTTTTATATCAGAAGATTCCCCTAAGAACTTGAAGAGAAGCCAAGCAATGTTGGTGGCACCCTTTAAGCACAGCACTCAGGAGACAGAGGCAGGTAGATCCCTGAGTTCAAGGCCAGTCTGGTCTACAGAGCAAGTTCCAGGACAGCCAGGACTACACAGAGAAATCTTGCCTTAAAAAAAAATAAATGAATGAAAATATAATAATAATAACAATTTGATAAAAATAAGAATCTCTCTGTGCTGGCAGATGGTTTTATACAACTCACTGCAGCACACATGACCTGGTGACTTGGACTCTGAACCGTGGAGAAGTCTCACAGGAAGCTTGTCGGTGGGTGAAATGCAGTCTCTGTGTCTCACAAATTCTGCCCTGAAGAACATAGTAGAAATGGCTTATACTAAACACAGCTCCAATATATACTCTTTGATCCTGTAAATAATATTTCTTTTTTTACTGCATTTTTAGTGGTGGTGATGGTGGTTTGTGTGTGTATTTGTGTGTGTGTGTGTGTGTGTGTGTGTGTGTGTGTGTGTGTGTGTGTGCACTGTCTTGCCAGTTCTAAATAATCCTTTATAATTAGGCTTATTTTTTTAATTTCTCAAAGGTAACAAAAATCAGTTGTATTCCCAAGGGTTTTAAGAAATATGACATTGCACTGAGGATTAGTTTCCAACACATATCCCACCTTTCAGTGAATCCTGTATTTTGAGACAGGGCCTCAAATAGCCCAGACTGGCCTCAAATGTAGGCCAAAGATGATATTGAACTTATTTGTTTTCAGTGTTTTTACTGAAATAAATTAATTGTGCATAAAAAAGAAATATGTATTTTAAATGAGCTTCTAGTGTTAGAATTATGATTATGAAAATAGGGTTAAGCTGGGTGGTGGTGGCGCACGCCTTTAATCCCAGCACTCGGGAGGCAGAGGCAGGCGGATCCCTGCAAGTTCAAGACCAGCCTGATCTATATATGAG